GTAGTATTTGCATATAACTTACATAACCCTTCCTTATACTTTAAGTCATCTCTAGATTACTTGCAACACATAACACAATGTAAATGCTATGTGAAAAGTTGTTTAGGGAATACACAAGAAAAAAGCCTGTGAGTGGTCAGTACAGATGCAATTTTTTCCTGAATAGTTTCAATACATACTTGCTTGTATCTGTGGATGTGGAACCATGAGTTTGGAGGGTCAACTGTAATAGGAAAATCAGATGTCCGAGTGGAAATTTTGATTTCTTAAAATGTTGAAAGTAGGAAAGTCTGAGAGTCCTTTAGCTAACTTTCTGACATGTCTAGAAGGCCAAAGAACTACATCTGCCATGAGCAGCTTTCATACTTGCTTGATTCAAAGTGTTGTTCAGTAAGTGATTTATAAATGAATGATTATGAAAGATGAACTATGGGATGAAGGAAAGAAGTCAGATCATACATGCAAACATTAATCAGAATGCTTAGAGAATGGTGTACTTTCAGTAGAAATTTATTCATTTTTTCATTCAGCAAAATATTATTGAGCTCCTACTGGTGTGCCAAGCAGTGTACTGTTTTTATTATAACCACTAATATTGAGAATCTTTCTAAAATACTGGTGTTTGCTTTGCTGCTTAAAAAATTAAAATCATGTGAATATCTAGTATTCAACTCTGAAGAGTACTGGAGAACATGGAGAACTTTTTTGACCTCATGGTTATTACCCTGAATATTGGCTAACATCATAGCAAATAATTGTGCTGAAGAGGGCCAAACCAGGTGTCATACTGCCTTTGTTCAAATCTAGACTTTACTGTTTGCTAAATGTGTGACATTGGGTCAATTTTGAACAGCATTCTATGACTCAGTTTCCCCATCTGTAAAATAAACAACTAATCATACCTCCTTTGTAGAGCTATTATGAAAATTAAATAATCAAAGTATTTTGGCGTGTAGTAAGCCCTTGAGGTAAATGGTAACTACTTGTTATCACATCAGACTTGACCTGGAAATGGGAAAGACAGAGAAGTTTGGGGTGAGGATGCTGAAAACTTGAGGGCATGTCCCCAACTTGGAGATTCTGTTTTAATGTCACTTGTAGTGTGCATAATGGAAAGACTATAATCCTTTTATTGTAGTTTAATTTCTTTTTTGAGTGTCCTTTCCTTGAAATGAGGATAATGATATCTATCAGTGCAACTCTTGTATGCTATGTGTGAGAGTACCTGGAATTTAGTGGCTCTCAATATATATTACATTCTTTTTGACAGAGTTCAATATGAGGAAGTAATACCCTTTAATTAAGAGTGTTGATGAATTGGGTTCTGGTTAGTTGAACTGGAATATGTAAATCAATTTAATGGTGGACCAGGTCTATCAAATAAACACTTCACACCTGGTGTAGTTTGGTTGAACACCTTTGTTTGATTTTGAAAAATTCTTTCCCTTTCTGTGGCTTCTTAACCTTATAGATTCCCACCACTTGGACTACAGCTAACTTGCATTTTCAGTTGTGAAAATGATTTTTTTTTCAAAGCGTTTAGAAGATTTTAATCATCAAGCTTAATAGGATTGATCTAAATTAATCCGAGTCAGTTGCAGATGATGAAACAATGGACTGATACCACATCATTCCTTGTTGGGTTTTCAAATAAAAGATAAAAAAGGGAAGTGTTCCAAACTGAGTCACCAGGCACTGGTGAGGATTAAATGAGGAAATACCCTGGGCTTTAGAAAGACAGATACTTGATGGGAATTAGAGAGTCCTCAAGCAGTCACCGTTTGCCATTTACTGTTGTCTGTGGGATGTCCTCCTGGCATGGCATGCAGCAGCCTACCAGGAAATAGAGAAGAAATGATGGAGCCCTGCCCTTAAGAAGCTGATCATCCAGTGAGAGGAGAAATCAAACAGAAAGATGTGTTCATGATGACACATCAGTGATCATGTATCTCAGTAATGCTGAGATAAGGGTGGAAGAGAATTATGTGAGTTCAGAAGGAGGGGATGGCTAGAATGCACTGAGGTAAGATGGAGTAGAGGGTGGCTAAAGGGAGACATTGAAACCCTGTCCAATGATAGTCTTAGTCTTTTGGGGCTGCTGTGACAAAATACCATAGTTTGGGTGGCTTATAAACAACAGAAGTTTATTTCTCAGAGTTCTGAAGTCTGGGAAATTAAAGATTAAGGTACCACAAATTCAGAATCTGGAGAGGCACTGCTTTTTGGTTCATGGTGGCCTCAAGCTGTATCCTCACATGGCGTATGTAACTACTTAGCTAGGGTCTCTTTTATTAATTGATATGGGTCCTAATATTGTAGGACATTTAGTAGCATCTCTGGTCCCGCCCACTAAATGCTAGTGGCACTTCATCCACTGCTCCCTATTCACACCACACCCAGTAGGATAACCAAAAATGTAGGGGAAGAAATCACCCCCAGGGGGAACCATTGCTTTTAAAGAATTCATTTCAATGACTTTATTGGCCCCTGAGGCACTAACATCCCTCTTAGGCTATGCTCATGGGAAGGTCATTTGGGCTACCAGTAGATCTCTCTGGCACTGACTGCTAAGCCACTTTGGCAGCAGTGGTCTCGAAATGGGCCGGCAAATCCTTACTATGCCAGGCTGCAATACCACATTTCTAAATGTTGGCGTATACTGGGTTATTTTTAAGGTAATCTGCAATTTTGCCCCTCCTACAGGAGAATTACATTTGAAGAATGATACTCAAGTTTGTGGAGCCTTTATTAAGCTAGGAAAAAAGCCACAGACACTTAGTTCAGTTATTAAAATAAAGACTATATTCTCCTAAACTATTCTGGAACCATTATTTTAATGTAAAATGTAAGCACAAAAGGGGACTAGGGAGTCCATAATGGGCACAGATAAATTGCTAAGTGACATTTTAGGAGAAAAAAATAGAAAAAGCTTTGTAAGATAAAAACATCCACATTCTTCTCCAGTTAGAGACTTATTGTTATTAGTAAGTCAGATGTCATATTCATGCCATTATTGGCAGCATGCATACAATTTAAATATTTTAGCTTCCATTATACAACTGAATCTACATTACTGACCTTCCAGGGCCCCATTCATAGGGGAAAAAGAGAGGGAACAATCAGCTACTTCATGCAAGGGCTGGCCAGCAGACTGGGTTTCCCCCATTGTCAGGACACAGGGCAGGCTTTGGAGCTGCTCTGCTCATGGCAGGGTTGGGACAGAGAATGATGGTGTGTGGGTGGAGTGGTGGGGGATGACACTTTTGGAGCAGGGAGAGAGCTAAGGCTTTTTATTTTTTTTTTTCATTTTGAGAGTTATCCCACCTTTGTTCCAAGGGAGAATGAAATACCCATTAAGACTGGTGACACTGGGAATTTTGTTCAGCTCAGTTCCTTTTGTTGTGACTCCAAGGCAAAGGAGAGGAATCTGGGGTAAGGAGGTTGCAAGCCAAGAGAAGAAAGAAAAGGAATTCCTTCCAAGGATTTCTTCTATTGTTTCCCTGAGAATAAATATTTATAGAGAAGGTTCAAGTGAAGCCTGTCACAATGGTCATGGCTTTAAGACTAAGCTTTTGATAGAGTGCATCTAAAACTATGCTTAAACAAAGGGCGATCCAATTAGGCTTCCTAGGGAAAACCAAGAAACCTCAAGATAATTTCCTATCTAAAATCTAATTGTGTCTTCAAGTGGAATAGGAATACTAGCCTAAATTATCCCAGATCCATAGACTGCAGCAAAAATGTACAGCCAAATTAGATTCTATCTTAAGTAATTAAGTTATTTTCCTTCACAGGATCTATAATTTGTCTTGAACAAATGTGATTTGCCTTAGAAGATAAAGCATTGCAATTTTTCCTCCGAAATGGATTTTCTATGTCACAAACAATTACTAAAAGAAGACCAAATATTGTTTTATGTCTTGCTTATGATCTGAGTGCATGCCTGCAACACCCTGTATGTGTTCCAAAGTGAGGGAGGTGTGCCCACTACAGTTTAGAAATTAGCTTTAAATGGAGACCGGAGCTGAAATTTACTCAAGAGCCCTGGGGCTTGCACAATGGTAGTGCAAATAGCTACAGTGATGTTACATAAGACACCAAAATCTTGTGCAAAATATGGGCAATGGGAAGCTTTCTTCAGTAGACCTTTCTTTTGAACTGTAAAAACACCAATGCTAACTTTTAGCTGCTTGGCTGAGTCCTTCAGATGATAGGTATTGCAACAGACTCAGAATAAAAGTGCTAAGATTTGCATAGAAGGTATTGCAAGAGGGTATTTTGAGCATGGTTAATTTTATGAAGAAAACATTCACTTTTGGCTTTATTTTCAATAACAATTCAGTTGACTTATGACCAGGTGTTTGGGGGAAAGTGGGTAATGGTTAAGAGCAAGAGCTGGAACAATAAATGGTATCTGCTCTGGGCTCTGTTTGTTAAAAATGCTAAGACTTATGGAAAGATTCTGAACCTCGGTTTCCTTGTCCGAGAACAGTGAGATCTATACTGACAGCAATGGATGAGAACATACAGTGCCTGCATAACCCCCACTTGAATTACACAAGGGGAAAAGAGCAGTGAAATGCAAAAACTATTGCATGCCTTACCTTCTTTACCCATACATACCATTCTGAAAAATCTTTCATAGGAATGGGTACAGGATGGGCATTTCTAAACTTCCCTGAGTTGAAGGTTGGTTCCCTGGTTAAGGTTTCATTCTTCAGTTGTTTCCAGGTTTTAAATATTGACTGTGTTACTTACCATATACCTTTGACTAAGTTATTTAGGCTTTCTATGCCTTGGTTTCCTCCTCTATAAAATGCTATTACCTAACAGAAGCAAAACCTATGACAGAATTGTAGTAGGGGGAATTAAATTTTACAACGAAAATGCCTAAGATAGTAGCTGGCATGTCATAAATATGTCTATTATTGTCTTCCAAACATGTTTATTATTACTGACAGCCAAAGGGATATCAACAGAAATCAAAACATAACACCAAGTAAGTTTATCATGTACTTTTATTAACAACTTAATACAAACAAGACTGTACATTGTAGGTGCTGAAATTAACCCACTCTTGAAAACTGAAAAACCAGCATTTCTAAACCACCTTAGGCTTTGGTTATAAGTGCCATCTTCTATAGCAAAATTATATAGTGTAACCAAACATCTTAAGAACAAAGAGGGGAAAGATGTTCCACTGGAATGGAGAGATTATTTATGCATAAACAGATTGAGGATCATTTCTAGCTTACGTGATTCACTACACACTCTGGAATGTTCAGTTCCTTTTCTACAGTTCCATAACCAGACATACAGCAACTAAGAACTTGGCCACAGGTCCTGCCTAGACGCTCATTGACATGAAACAAAAATATTTATATAAATAAGTCAATTAAACATCACAAAAACTAAAGGAACACAAGACAAAAATCCAACAGTCAATAAAAACTGTACAGTATTGGTCAGTCTTTTATATCTGAAAAATGTGTAACTTAAAAAAAGTTCTTTATTGTATAAAAAAAATGTCTTTTTACATCAGTGTTAGCTGGAGTGAAAACTCGAAGACTCAGATTCAGTTGAAACAGAAGAATGTCCACCCCGTTTTCCTTTGGAAAGGATCTTAAGGCTGGACCCTCTGCTCACAGAGGTGAGTGCATGCTGAGCAGATGTTTTAAATTTGGCTCCAAGGAAGGCATAGAGGATAGGATTCAGGCAACAGTGGAAAAAGGCCAGGGCCTCGGTGATGGAAATCCACTTGTGCACAGTGCTCTCAAATTCACATCCTTGCTTGATGATTTCTAGGAGAATGAAGGAGTCGATGCTGATTCCAATGTAATAGGGCAGCCAGCAGGAGAAGAAAGCCAGGATGAGGATGACTGTGGTCTTGAGGGCCTTGCGCTTCTGGTGGCCTTTGGAGTGTGACAGCTTGGAGATGATAATGCAATAGCAGGACAGGATGACAATACCTGGCAGGATAAGGCCAACCATGATGTGCTGAAACTGGAACACAACCACCCACAAGTCACTGGGGTAAAAGCGGTCACAGATATACCTCCCGTCTGCCTCCCTGACACTGGCAAAGATGATATCAGGGATAGTCAGGAGGACAGCAGGGATCCAGACACCAACATAGACTGCCTTTTCAGCCAATAGCTTCCTTGGCCTCTGACTGTTGGTGGCATGGACGATGGCCAGGTACCGGTCCAGACTGATGAAAGCCAAAATCAGGACACTGCTATAGAGGTTGACAGTGTAGATGACATGGACTGCCTTGCAGAGGAACTCCCCAAAGTACCAGTTTGCCAAGGCATCAACTGCCCAGAAGGGGAGCGTGATGACAAAGAGAAGGTCAGCCACTGACAGGTGCAGCCTGTACTTATCAGTCATGCTTCTCAGTTTCTTCTGGTAACCCATGACCAGAATCACCAATCCATTGCCCACTATGCCAGTCAAGAAGATGATGAAGTAGATGGTGGGCAGGAAGATCCGGTTGAAATGGGCATTTTCTTCCCGGAAGCAGGGTTCTTTTATGGAGTCATAATCCCCTGAGCCCAAGTCCTCTGAGTAGTTCTCTGAAGTGTAAATCTGCAAAAGAGGAAAGGGCAGGCACATTCACTTCCAAGGTCAGCAGGTATTACCCAAGTTTTAAAGATGTTTGTGAGGGCCACGCACCCATGGTTCATGCCTGTAATCCTAGTTACTTGGGGGGCTGAGATCTGGAGGATTATGGTTCGAGGGCAGTCTGGGCAAGTAAGTATACAGACCGGATCATCTCCGAAATAACCAAGGCAAAACGAACTGGAGGTATGTCTCAAGCGGTAGAGCACTTGCTTTTCAAGTATAAGGTCCTGAGTTCAAAACCCCAGTCCCACCAAAAAAAAGTTTCTGGGACTTAAAAACAAGCAAAATCCAACTCAGGTCAGCCTTCTTCAGGAAATTCTTAAGTGCCCGATAAGGGCTTAAGAGAATTGTTACAGAACCCCACGAAGGTCCCCCCCATCTTCCCTCATAATTACTTCAACATATTCCTCTTCAGTGGAACCAATTATAAAATTCTTTGTTTAGAACAAAAGGGCGCTGAGATTTTTAGGGTTTCAAAGTCACTTCTTGGCTAACTGTTCTGCCCCGCCCACTAGAGGGAAAAAACCAACAACACAAAACCATACACACAAAGAGGCCACTCCCAGGCGGCAAGGGATGGGGGCGATGTGGGACAGAATCTAGTGTTTGGAGGAGGTGGGATTAACTTTTTGTAGGAAGATTAGCCAAAGGAGGGAAGAATGGGGAGGAGTCCCAAGGATTTAGTGTCCTAAGGCACAAAACATTGTTTTTTTCCCACGCCGGTCAAAACAAACCATTCTGTGTTTCAAGCAGCACGCAGTGTGGAAGGAGAAGGCGACCTTAAAGCTAAAGGCTTTTAGTGCTTGGGGTATGGGGAAAAGGTGTGTAAAATGAGCAGACCACACTCCCTGCCCCCAGAGGGGCTCTCCTCCGGGGGTGTGGGTCTCTTTTGCCATACCCATGTTTATCACTTGGCGCGTTTGGGACGTTGAGTAGGGCAGCATTTTCCTGGGTGGGGAAGGTCACGGGGTCTGCATGCGTGGTCCTCGCCCCAAGTTTCATTTCCTCCCTCTCCCGGGTTGCTTCCCACGCAGTCACTGATCCAGTCAGTCACTGATCCAGTTAATGGGGTCGGAAGTGGGCAGCTGGAAGCCTCGTAACCGTGGGTACTCTGAGGGCCGGGTCACCCAGTCAGTCCCAGCATACCCACGTCCCCTCGCCCACTGGCAGCAGCTCCAGGGGTTCCGCCGGGCTGTGCGCCAGGCTCGTCCCGCAGGGTGCAGGAGAGAGATTGGGCGGCTCCGCCTCGGAACGCCTTTGAATCGCGCGCGGCGGGAGGAAACGAAAAGCCTCCCCAGCTAGGGGGTTTCAAAAGGCTGCAGGAAACCACCGACGGTTAAACGCTGCAATTGGGCTGGGAGAGCCAAACGGTTTCCCCACTTGCACCTGCTTGCTGCCTTCGCTGCGGCGACCCAGTAGCCCAGGTGCCGTCCCAACAAGACGCCCGTTTTACCCCCGCCGGGCACACTTCGAGACCGGCAGCTGCACTGTGCCTCTTATGCCCCTTCGATCTCTGCAAGATCCCCCAAATCCGAACCTCGGGACCCACTTGGGGCAGTGGGGAAGTGGCGCGTTTCGGACGCCCGCAAGCGCTTCTACTCAATTCGAAGGCGCGGGGGCAGCTCTTGGCCACCTCCCAGCTGCTGCCACCGCTCACACCCCCTCCGGCAAGCGGCACAGTGAGCACCCGGGTTTTTCTCGCCCTCTGCCCACTGTTCCCCGGGACTGGCACACCTCCGCCGTTCGCACGAAGTGTACCATACCAAACTTGCGCTCAAAGTCTAGAACAGTCCCCCGGTGCCTACGACAGAAGTTAACCTAGGACGCAATGACGCTCTGGGAATTCGCCCAGGAGCGCCGACCCTAGACTCTACGTTCACATAGTATAATTCGTTTCAGGAAACCCCTGCTCTCCCCCCGCCCCACCACCACGCACACAAAGCCCGCCTGCCTGAGCCCCGGGGCAGAGCGCACGCCTTCTCTGCACTTGTGCACAGAATGTTATGTTTGCAAACAGCATGCAAGCCGGCGCCCGCCGCAGGACTCAAGGGGAGGGAGACACAGGCAGCCGCTCCAACGTTCTTTCCAAATCTTTCACTGAGGAAAAGATTCCAATCCTCCTCCCCGCCCCCCATACAGCCATGGTTACGAAAATTTCTTTCCATGCCCCTTCTTCAGGGCACGGGTACCTCAAGGTTCTTGTCGCTTTTGCCCGCTTCTAAGTTCATGTATTTGTACATTTAGGACAAAGCAGGTTGAAACTGGACTTACACTGATCGCCTCCATAGTAATCGCTGGCTCTCCAGCCGCGGTGGCTACTGGAGCATCCAAGTCCTTACAGTCACTTTGCTACCTGCTGCAGCAACCAACAAATTGAAGTTTCTGGCCGAAACCGGACTTTTATGAAAACACGCTCCCGGTGCGGCGCATGCGCAGCTCAGGCGGGGCGGGGAGGTGGAAGACGCGTGGGGGGAGAGGGGCAGGCAAGTGGGAGGAGGGCGCAAAGGATGGGGTGGGGGGAGGAGGGGGCAGGGACCCGGAGAGGAGGAGGGGCAGGGAGAAGCGTGGAAGTCACTGCTGTTCACCCCGAGTCACGTCGTGAATACAGAGCCGGGTATGACGCCCCATAGGCGTTCCTGAACTTCGGGAGAGCGGGATGTGCCTGGAGGGAAGTGAGAAGCGCGAGCGAGGGACGCTTCTGTGCGTGGTGCCTGCATCCTTGCTCACGTGGATGGAATTCCAGACCTGGGAATGCTACAAATGGAGACACTGAGGTCCAGAGAGTGGAAGCGACTTGCTTGAGTAACCTAACCAGTAGGCGGCAATGTTGGGAGCGGGGTCAGCGTCTGACTACATTGCCCGCGCTGTAGCTAGCGCATGCTGTCCATTGAGAAGATAAATAAGCTCACTGTGTGTAACTCAACGTGCGTATTCACGGTAATAAGATTAGGGTCAGGTGTAGATAAGCAGGAATCACAGAAGAAGGTAGGGTTTGGAACAAGTCTGGGGACTGGTCGACAAGTAGATGTGTATTCCCGGGATGAAAGCCAGTAATACTGGTTGGTAACAAATTCACGAATCACACTTTTTTTTTTATTAAATTATTACAGTGTGCGTTACCATAAGAGCAATTTAACTACTAAGACTTTTTATAACAGATCGGAAGGAATTTGCGCAGAATCATGCATTCTCACGTATTGAGAGTGCAGATGCATTTAGACCACCCTGTTCTAGGTGCTGGGGGTCCAATGGTGAACCAGACGGAGCCCGCGCGGAGGAAACCGGACACAGACCCGCAAAGACGAAGTGCTAGGAGTGGCCGGGGATTCCAAGGCCGGTTTGAGCTCAGGTCTTCGGATCCCACATCCAGCGCCTTCCTCGGTTTTGTGCCAAGGGCCAGTACTACTGCACGGATGAAAAATTAGGTTGAAGAACTGGGCGGAGCAGAACGCAGAACGGGTTGGACGGTTAGAGCGATCCCAGACAGACTGGGGTTGCAGTGGGCGCCCAGACAGAGCTCCCAGTCCCCCTTCCCCCGCCATCCCCCGCCCCGCCACTTCCCGCCGGCGCCTTGCTGGGTAAGGCGGGGAGCGAGGGAGGGGCGGGGCCGAGAGCTAAGTGCGACCGCACGCTGAGTGACCGCACAGGAGTGACCGCAGAAGTGATAGCTGCGGCCGCGGTACGAGTCCACCCAAGAGAGCTCTGGTTGCGCAGCAACGCGGACCCCAGACGGCCCCCATCCTAGGACGGTCCGGAGGCTAGAAAGGCTTGCCCAGATCGGACGCTGAGCGCTAGCCACCTCCCCCTCCTTTATCAAAAGATAAAATCCACGGTTTAGAGGTGTCCTGAAGGTAGCCCGAATGCTGGGAACCCCTTCTCTGCAGTGCATGTTTTTTTAAATTTTGTGTGGGCCCCTCTCCCCAATGTTTGTCGGTGAAGGTCCTCATCTACTTTGCACTTTTGTCATACCGAAAAACTGATATTGGGAGTCAAGAGGTTGGACCCTCAGAAATGGCCAAATTAGGACACACAAAAACTTTTGAAAGAACTTTTACTTTTATAAGATCATTTATAAAACCTCAGTATCCTAGTATTTTCATAAACTAACTAGCAAGTAGAAAATTTGTTGAAGGGATTTCAGACCAGTTCCTTGACTCTATTGAGGAGAGAAGCTTTGTGCTGGAATGTCAGCTGTATTGTATCTCAAAACTCCTCTTCACAATAGCTAAAACTCTCAAAGGGGGAATCTCCCAAGCCTGCCTCCAAAAAAGAGAGAAGGTACATTTAGAGTAAAATGGTTTGCATAATAAGTATTTGTCGATTGTTGGCAGACAAAAGAAAACTGCTTTGGTTTATCTGAAGATGCAGGGTAGGTCCTTTTCAGTATAGGCGTTAAGAGGAAGCAGATAAAAGAACAATGAAATGCTATTTGATGACTATCAAATTAGGCCAGGTTTTTTTTTCTTTCAAAGATAATATTTGGCCTGCAGATTTGAAAAGACCAGCTGTCTCTCACTTGTCACTGGTGGGAGTGTGAGTTGGGGCAGCCTCACTGGAAGGCATTTTATATTTAGCAGAAACCTTAGGAGAGTAATTCCACCGATAGGAACTTACCTTTAGGAAATAGGATTTGTGCCACAAAGGTATTCAGGGAAGCACTGTTAATAATGCTAAAAGAAACCCCGATGTCCATTAGTGTTGATTAGTTGAAACGATATTGATACATTTATAAATGAAATTCCACGAGGACATTGAAAATGATGTTTGTGAAGAATTTTCAATGACATGGGAAAAGTACTCATGAAACAGTAAGTGCAAAAAGCACTGTTTAGTGTGATCTCAGTTATGTTAAAATATGCTCTAGGAAAAGATTGAGAGGAAAAACAAAATAGGAGTTTTCATTGGGTAGAGAATTGTTGGATTTTTACTTTGTTCCTAGACTCTTTTAATAGTGAGACATTTTCACATTAAGAAAAAGTCAGTACACTTTATGAACAAAAAAAAAAAAAAAAGAAAAAGGAATGAAAATGCCTCCCTTCTCTCTTATCTTTCCACTTCCTGAAGTATGTGATGACCTTTTCCATAATAGTCTCCCTTCTTTTCCCCTGGGCTAATCCTACTTAAACTTCCCAACTGCTCTATGATGTACTTTGAAAAAGTAAATAAACCAAACTTAAACACTGCGTGCTTGTTAAGTGCAGTGGACCTCAGAGAGATAATCCCCTCAAGTCTACCAGGCAGGTACCTCTCTTCCAAGCTATGGAAGCCAAGGTCTGCAGCGGGTAGGGAGCTTGCCTCTACTCACCCAGTGAGGATCTGTGCCCAGTCCGTCTGGCTCCAGTGCCCAGGCTCGTCCACTGCATCGCAATGTCTCCCTTTCTCTGGCCACTGCAGTTCACCCTCTGAGAGCTCCCTTCTCTGGAAGGTCACTTGGCATTATTTACCTACTGCTTTGAGTGGCATCTCTTGTGATGTTATTCAACATTTAAATGCCCCATGTTTTTATTCTTCTCCCGTAAATATTCCAAGTTCCTTAAAGTGAATGCCCAGATAGCGGCTATCCAGCTAGCCTACTGCTGAACAAATAATGGGCCCCTGATTGTTTACTGAATCTTTATTTAAAGAATTAATGACTTTCCTGTGTGGCTCTGGCAACAGAGCCAGGCTGAGGGGCCATCAAGGCTTTGGCAGGATCCCCAAGTTCTCAGGTTGGCTTTAGCCCAGGGAATAACTAGCATTGGCCGCAGTTTGGAGGGGATGCTTACGAATCCAGTGACACGGTGGCCAGCATCCTGCCACCTCCTGTTGCTCGCTTTGCAGCTGGTGGCTTTGTGTGTGAGTGTGTGTTGCGCGTGTGTGTGACAGAAGGCTGTATACTGTCCCTAAGTAGGCTTCAAGTCAGTCAGGGAGAGAGCTTAGGAATATCCCTCTTCCTGATGGTGGATGACAGGAGGCAGCGGCATAAAGGCCTTCAGAATACACAGTCTTTGTCTGACACTCTAGTCTCTTTAAAAAAAAAAAAAAGGCCACTTTATTTCTGAAAGACAAAAATAAAGTACAAACTTCCTTGGTGGTAGAAGGGATAGCCAAAGGTATATCGTTCATATTTTCCCAAGTGATTAAAAATGATAAAAAGGAGACTGTTTCCAAAGGGGCCTGTAATTCTAGCACAGGTTACAAATCTTAAAGAGACAATGCTGTCAAAAGTCAACTACTTTCAAGGTGGTGTTAAGTGGAAGAAACAGGCTACTCCCTGACCACTCCCAGCCCATCCTCCTTCCCTAGGCCTCTGTGTCCAAAATTTATTTGGAAAATAGACTTAACACTTCTAGCTTCTAGCTCTGTATCAGTTTAGGACAATTACTACTGGTTTCCCGGGAACCATTTTCATCTTAAATTTAAGTCATATCTTGAATTTCTAAAAGGGCTGCCTTCATTAAAATGAGATTCTGAGTGATTTCCATCAAACCTTTATAGCAGTCAACAAAATTTCCTACTCAAAAAAAGCTAGACTGGTAAATATAGTCACCTTGATATATCATTTTCACAAGCAGTCAGCTAATTAACAATGCAATGACCTACTTGACTAATTCTACTGCCAGGCAGAGGAATTGTTCTCAAAGTTTGCTGGGCTCATGTGGCAGGTGCTATGTGTCTTTGTGGGTGTGAAGAACAGCAACAGACTCAGTGCTGTTGCCTCAAAAATTAATGGTGTCAAGCTGGGAAAGAGGGCACGACTTTAGGAAATAATTGAGTGAGTAAACCCTGTTCTCCATGGAAAAGCTTATCATTGTTTTCCTTAAGCCAGTAATTTATTAGTGGTGACCTCAGGCAGCTATATAACAAGAGGAAGTACCTACAGCCCCTTGGACAGTCAGTTTTCTAAAGAGAACTGGCCATCCCATGGAGTGTCATGGTGCCCCCAGAAATGTGGTGATCTGGTTACCTATACAGATGGGCTTTGAGTCTACCAGGAGAATTATATTAGCAGAGGGAGAGGGTGGGGATTATTTATGTGTGTATGTGTGTGTGGAGGGGCAGGGGGATCTATGCAATGTTTTGCTTGACCGCTTTTTCTAACTCTAAACCAATGGTGTCCTTGGAGCTAGTTGGAGGTCTAAAACACAAATGACAGATACTATAAATGAATGAGGCCATAGAGAGTGGTGGGGATTGTGGGTAACTGGAGAGTGTGTACCTTATATGAAAGAGGAATTTGGGTGGTATCTATCATTCTAATTACATGAGCCATTTTAAAAGAGAAGCTAAACATTCTAATTTTTTGAAATACAAAATCTATCAACTTAAAAAAGTTGGTTCAGGGGCTGGGGATGTAGCTCTATAGTAGTGCTTGGTTAGCATGCCCCATGTCTGATCCTTAGCAC